GGGGCCGGGCGGGGCGGGCTGGCTCGTCGGCGCCGCAGCTGCGTCCCCGTCCCGGGGGGCGCACGCCCTGTCGGGCCTTTGTCTCTTCCAACAAAGCAGTTTCCCTTTCACCCTGCCCTTGGGTGTCACAGAGTGGGAGATAATCAGACGCCGAGGAAGCTAGTCAAAGGGCGAAGGGCAGCCCCCGAGGGACCCCGGCCCGGAGCCGCCCTCGGCGCTGCCCCGGCCGCGGCGCGCTTCTCCGGTTTCCGTCCGCTCTCCCCTCGACGCTGCCCCTCCAGCCTGGCCCCCGCGGCCGTTTCTCCGGCGGCGGACACTGCCCGGGCTTGGCGGCCTGGGTAGGAGACGCGGGGAGCTGGCGCGGAGCGGGTCCTGCGCCGCGTCCCCAAGGCCGCGGTCCGGGCGCCCCGGCCGCCCCTGCGCCCATCCGCACCGCGAGCCTGAGTCCCTGCTTCCCCGGGCAGGCGGGAGAGGAAGCAAGCGCTGATCGATCACCGCGGGGCTGGGAGCAGCAAAAACGCAGAAAACCCGGGCGACGCGCCCGCAGCAGGGGCGTTTTACCCGGGAGGCGACCCTGGACGGGGTCGAGAGGGAACCGGGATGGGGAGGCCGGGAAGGGACCGCAGGCCCCAGGACCTGAGGCTGGGCGTGGCCGGTGGGGCCTGGCACACTGGGTAGAGGACAGGGACTGTGGGGGTCCTCCCTGCGGTGTAGGAGAGGGAGACTGGGCACTACCAGCGGGGCAAGGACGTGACCTGTGACAGGGACAGAAATCTGATGCGCCACGGAGGGGACAGCGCAGACAGGACTAGCTTCGGGACCAGGGAGGGATCAGAGGGCCGGTTTGGGAGTCCGCAGGGTGGAGGGGACCCCTCAAGGACAGGAGAGCCCTTGTCCCTGCGTCCTTCTGACTTCCTCCTGCGTCTGGTGTCACCCCCTCGAGATGCGGGGCGGCGCCCGGGCCTCCTGATTTCTTCCCCGGGGCGGCCCCTTTGTTCCCCGTCCCTGCCCGCTGGCCAGGCCGGCGGCGCCCCGAGCGCGTGTCGCGTGTCGCTCACACGATGGGAGGGGTCCCCGGCGCACCCACGCGGAATCCCCGCCCCCCGGGGAGCGCGGTGCCTTCCACAGCTGCTCCGGGCTGGGGGCCCAGGAAAGGGAGGCTATTTTTAGAATATTTGGAAGAAAGGAGGGAAATTAAAAAAAAAAAAAAAAAACGAATGGAGACGCGCGGAGCCTCCGGGCTGCCGGGAGGAAACCCCTCTGGCCTGGTCCGCCGCAGAAGGTGGGTGGGCGTTCAGGCTCGGAGCTGGAGCTGCGAAGGGATCCAGGGGGGCGCACTGCCTGGGGACGGGCAGCTCTGGGGGGGAGACGGCCTCGTAGAGCTGCAGGGACCCGAGAGGGGTGGCCGCTGACTTTGGTGGACCCGGCTCACACAGGAGCCTGGTCAGCCAGGGTCGCCTCCATGGGTTCCAGCGGGGTCCCCCAGCCCCTGATGACCCGGACCCCAGCAGCCGCATTGCTCTTCCTCGGCACGGTGACCTTCAGCTTGGTCCGGCCCCACCTCCGCCAGGGCGCTCCGAGGGGTCCCCGATTGCGCGGGGCGGGGGGGCGTCCCCGGCCCAGCGAGGAGACACAGAAGTTTCTGGGCTTTGTTTCCCGGTCACCGGGCTCCCCCTTCCTCGGGGGACCCACCAGCGGCCCTGAGCCCCCGGGCGCCCGAGTCCCCTCCAGGTCCCC